GTAAGCAATTTAACTTAATAAAATAAAAAAAAGAATAAATATGAGGTAATCTTTGTTAAGAATAAATTTAATTTATTTATTGAACTATATTTTTATTTTTAATTATATATCAACTTAATTAAAATATAGTAACATGTTAAAATATTTTAACATGACTTGTATTATTTGTAAACCGTTGGGCAGTTGCCCTTACTATTGTTTGGCACTATTGTTTTTGGATAATATTTTATTTTGATGAAGATCACATAACTTACATTTGATTTTAATAAGGTAAGTCTTCTCTTTTTCTGTGATCACCGCATCGGCAAAGTCCCAAGATTTAAAAGTTTTTAAAGTAAATCTTTTGTCCTTCAAAATACAATCCATATTCAAACTTTAAATAATTTAAAGATAATAGAAATATACAAGGTTTTTATATACTAGTTTGTTTTGTTTTATAAAGAAAAATACATATTCATTAGTAAAAAATGGAGACTGTCATTAAACTAAAACGTGCCTAAGTATTTATTTAACGGAACCTGTAATGTGCGCGTGCATAATAAAATCTCTGTTATATAAATATATTCAACGTAATATTAGTGTCATCAGCGGATGTTGTAGTCTACTCATGATTTCTTTACCTTATATTATAACTTGATTTATGACAAAAAAAACTTATTGAATCGCACGCAGAAGAATTTTAACAAATTGTCTTCATTCAAATATTGCGAGTAACAGGTAATTTTTTTTTCTGTGCCGACCCTTCCGGTAGCAATTCTTTCTGTTTATTATTACCCGACCGGTAGCAATTCTTTACAGTTTTTTGCGTTAGACAAAAACCCTGTAATTTTTTTGAACTTTACTTGTTTATATATTCTTTTAAGGTTAAGCATGAAACTTCAGATTTTTTGCATTATTCAGTTTAAATCTAACTCTTCCCATATATAGGAAGTACTATTTACTATTTTATATACTATTTATATGGCTTTACTTATAAATTTTATTTTTCAAAGTTTCAGAAAAAATTTATATTCCAACTTGCTGAAATGAAAAAAAAATTTAGTAGATAGAACTGCACTGTTCTCTAATAATCCATAAGAAGGTTTTAAACAATGTAAAAGTTCAGACAAACTTAATGTTTTGAAAAAAAAAAAATTCGCAAATGGAGATATCCAATACATCACTTTTGTATACATGAGTTTCATCTTAAAAGTTTGTATGTTATATATTATTAAAATATTTATTTTAAATTGTCATAAACATTTTCAATGTTTCTTATACATTGTTTCTTTTTAGATAAAACATTTATCATTAATTGGCAATAAAAATCTAGCTGATACAATTAAAAATATTTTTCTCTTGTAAGTAATTAGCAAAAGTTTGAATTTTAACATTTATGATTGACAGTAGAGCATTTATCTGCTTTTTTATATATGTAGACTGCCAACAGACACTATTTTGTCAGAATACAGCATGAATTGTCTAAAGAAGAAAAGAAAGTTTAAAGAGTTGACAAGTCTATGTAACTCTGTCACTGGTATTCTTATTAGCTTATTAATGTGTTTGATTAATTTAAAATTAAAAATAATGTTTTAATTAAAAAAAAAAATTAATTTTTTTGGCTCTGGAACATGACATGTATTCAAGTGTATGTATGACATATATATTTTATTTTATGATCTTATTGAAACATGTTTTGTTGTTTTTATTAGAAGCTGCTTTAAAGTCAAATAATAACTTAACCAAAATGAATGCTATCCAACTTATTGGGAGAGTAATTAGGCATTCTTCTGACCGATTAAAGAAAACATCTACTAATATGGATTTCGATCAATGTTGGCTTAATTAACTGTTGTATTTTTTATTTTATTTTTCTATTTTTAAGCAATTTTCTTCTATTTATAATGCACTATTGATTATATTCTACAGTACCTATTAGTTTTTAATTTGAAAAATGTAACTTTGAAAAATTATTCTTATTTTTTGTAAAGATATTAATTTATTTTAAATATATCAAATTACACTTTATTTACATTGATTTCTTTTTATAACTTCCCTTGCCTAGATTAAGGCAAATCTAAAGTGTGTGTTGTAAATCATTGCATTTTTAAATAACTTTTAAAAGAATGTCTTATTAAAATTCAAACGTCACTAGGACGTCTGAAAAAGACGTCCTTAAGTCTTTCATATGAGATCAGCCAGAGACGTCTCTAGAACGTCTGCAAAAAACGTCTCTAGGATGTCTTGAAAAAACGTCTTTAGGACCTCTGGAAAACGTCTTTGAGACGTCCTCAAGCCTTTCATTTGAGACCAATTAAGGATGTCTTACGGACGAGACTTAAGACGTTTTACGGACATCCTTAGGACGTCAAAATGCCCGCTGGGATGCCAGTTAACGAATTAAAACATTTATCATCTTTTTTGTAGCTAAATATAATACTTTTCAATTGGTCGTTGATTATTTTTAAACCTTTATATTCTTCAAGCAAGCTACCCAGCTAACACAAAACGTTTAACGAACGTTGCGAACGTTCAAAAATGTTCTATGAACGTTGGTAAAACGTACTTGAATGTTCACAACGTTCGTCGAACGTTCTTGGTACATTAGTTTTCATTAACTACTACTAATCTTTTTTAAATGAAAAACTTTTAATAAAGTTCTTTATTGCTTAAGTTAGTCGTAAACTCTGGTTCTGACCTTTTAAGATAATTTTTCTTGTGTTGTCTTAAATAAATACAAGCTTTATTTCTTCTTTTTAAATATTTTTTACTGCAACCTGAACTAACTTTAATCTCCTAAGGCCTAAAGTGAAAATTGCACACTTTGGTGTGTTTTATTATTTCAAAATTATCGGCACCTCATTTACGACTATATTAAAATATTTTGTTAAACCAAGCTTTGTGAACCTTGTGTTTCAGGAAACACTATTGGTTCGGGAAAGAAAATAGACCAATATTAGTCTTTTTTATATTGCTATTATAAAATGAATTTCCACACAATGATATACAGTAATACTTCCTTCTCCCACCTTTTTTCAACATTGGTCTGATAATGCTATAGTTGGAATAAGACATTTTTATTTAGTACAAATTTATTTTGTTTATATTTTTGTCATTATTGGCCTCTTTTTGAAGCCGAGAGATCAGTATTTAGAGATTATGTATTTATATTAGAGAAATATCTACTTATCTTGAAATTGGTGAAACTAAAATCAATATCGATATCATTATTATTTGAAATTCCTGCATTCATTTTGGAAAAGTTTCATTTTGCATTTTTCTTGTAAAACGTCTTCCCAGCGGGCACAGACGTGAATCAAACGTCTTACGGACGTCTTAACTAGGTCGCGACGTCTCAGACCAAATTAGGACGTCCTAAAGACGTCTGGTAAAGACGTCTTTGTTAGGACGTCCTTGTGACGTTAATATAAAGACGATATCAGGACTTCAATATTTAGACGTCCTATTGACGTCGCTAAGACCTACATAAGACGTCCTAATTACCTTAAAAATAAGTAAAAAATTAATACTATCAACTTGGCGCATACAATATTATGCGCAAACTCGGTTATTTAGATATGTCTACTTGTTTTGGTTGATTATTTTAAGACTATTATTTTGTTTAGTTATTTATCGTTTAAAGATATTTTTTAATTTTCTATATTCTATACTCTATGATCTATAAACTATAATCGATACAATATTTAAATAAAAGAGTAACTAAGTTACAAGTATAATAAGGGAATTTTAACAAAAAGACATCAAAATTGCACCAAGACTTTTCACTTTGTGTTTTATAGAATAGTATTGATATTTTGTGTGTCTGTGTTATATATAAATTAATATATACATATTAATTTATATATATATATATATATATATATATATATATATATATATATATATATATATATATATATATATATATATATATATATATATATATATATATATATATATATATATATATATATATATATATATATATATATATATATATATATATATATATATATGCAAAGGTTTGTAATATCATGGCTGTAGAAATAGATAAATGGATAAATAAATTGTATATATTTTGTTGTTCCTGTGTTGTTTTATTCCATTTTATGATTTTTCCATCATGGGTTGTATAAATGATTATTAAGATTATTACGTATGTTGACACCTTGTTACTGTGTTGTTTCATTTAATTTGATGTATAATTATTTATATATACATGATTTATACATTATATTATAATGTTTATATGATGCATACATATTCATTATATATATATATATATATATATATATATATATATATATATATATATATATATATATATATATATATATATATAATATATTTATTTATTTATATATATATATATGTATATATATATATATATATATATATATATATATATATATATATATATATATATATATATATATATATATATATATATACGTGTGTATATATATGTATATATATATATATATATATATATATATATATATATATATATATATATATATATTTACGTGTGTGTGTACACGCACACACACAAACATACACATATATATCCATTTATATATATATATATATATATATATATATATATATATATATATATATATATATATATAATATATATGTATGTATATATATACATATATATATATATATATATATATATATATATATATATATATATATATTTATCTTTATATTTACATTTATATTTACATTTACACTTTATATTTACATTTATCAATACACACATGCATAAACTTACACACACACACACACACACACACACACACACACACACACACACACACACACACACACACCACACATATATATATATATTATATATATATATTATTATTTTATAAACATCAATATATACAATTTTCTCTCAATACTAAATTTATTTTTTATTCTTTATTTTTTAAAAGAAAGATTTTCGCTGGATTGTTGTGACCGGCGTCTTAAGCTTAAAAGATTTTGTTTGTTTTTGTTTATATGTTATTTTTAAACGGCAATTTTATTATATGTCAATGGAATGGTTTTGTCTTTTTCTGACGTAAGTGCATTAGAAATGGTGTACAGAATTTTGTTGACACATATTGTCCCTCATCTAAATTGATACCACTTTGTTGAGGGGCACATTGGTGGTACTGTGTACTTTCCTATTGTACTGTTTTTGTGTTGTTGCATGCGTGTTTTTATTTGCATTTTTATTTCACCAATATACTTTTTGTTAGAATGGCACTTAATAAGGTAAACTTCTGGGTGGCTGTTCCTTTGTAGTTTGGATTTATTTCTTGATTTTTTTCTTGAAAGTACCAAAAATGTTTCTGTTTATTATTACCCTTATATGGTGCTTTTAGTAAGGCTGCAATTCTGAAACTTGGTACAAAAGATTTGATTCCAAAAGAGCTCAAAACCTGCTAAGCCCGAAAACTTTAGTTTTATATATTTAAAAATAACATATAAACAAAAACAAACAAAATCTTTTAAGCTGAAGATGCTGGTCACAACAATCCAGCTAAAAAATTTTTTAAAAATAAAAAATCAAAAATAAATTTAGTATTGAGAGAAAATCGTATTTATTGATGTTTATAAAATAATAATTTACATACTCTCATACATATATATATGTATATATATATATATATATATATATATATATATATATATATTATATATATATATATATATATATATATATATATATGTATATAGATATATATACATATTAATATATATATATATATATATATATATATATATATATATATATATATATATATATATATATATATATATATATATATATATATATTAATATGTATATATATCTATATACATATATATATATATATATATATATATATATATATATATATATATATATATATATATATATATATATATATATATATATATATATATATATATATATATATATATATATATATATATATATATATATATATATATATATATATATATATATATATATATAGTTATATATATTTATATATATATATATATATATATATATTAGGGTGTCCCAAAAAACAACATTTTTGAAAATAATCTGCTCTCACCCCCTAAATGTGTTCATTCTAATGCAAAAACACTAGGTTTAAATTTTTTTTGAATAAAAAATCTTTTAAGGGGTCCCTCAAGACCCTCAAATATTTAATGGGTCCCCAATATTTTCAAAAAAAAAGTTTTTCAAAAATATGTTAACCTGGTACTCAAATGAAGCGAAATTATATAAATATTTCAAAAATAATATTCATATCGAAATATTTTTAATTTATCAAAATTATCATAAAAAAACATTAGAAATGCATTTTTTTCATTTTTTTTAAAAAAATGCAATTTTTTATGTAATAAAACCAAAAATAATAATTTTGTTTCGAAATGAGTATTATTTTTAAAATTTTTATATAATTTCGCTTCATTTGAGTACCAGGTTGACATATTTTTGTAAAACTTTTTTTTCGAAAAATATTAGGAACCCATTAAATATTTGAGGGTCTTGAGGGACCCCTTAAAATATTTTTTATTCAAAAAAAACTTAAACCTAGTGTTTTTGCATTAGATAGAACACATTTAGGGGGTGAGAGCAGATTATTTTTAAAAATGTTGTTTATTGGGACACCCTAATATATATATATATATATATATATATATATATATATATATATATATATATATATATATATATATATATATATATATATATATTATATATATATATATATATATATATATATATATATATATATATATATATATATATATATATATATATATATATATATATATATATATAGATATATATATATATATATATATATATATATATATATATATTAATATATATATATGAGTGTGTGTGTGTGTGTGCGTTTGTGTATAGGAAGCAATTATTTACAGTTTTTGGCGTTAGACAAAAACCCTATAATTTTCTTGAACTCTACTTGTTTCTATATTTTTTTAAGGTTTAGCATGAAACTTGAGATTTTTTGCATTATTCAGTTTAAATCTACCTCTTTTTAACCATATATAGGAAGTACTATTTACTATTTTATATACTATTTATATGGCTTCACTTATATATTTTACTTTTCAGAGTTTTAGAAAAAAATTATATTCCAACTTGCTGATATGAAAAAAATTTTAGTAGATAGAACTGCACTGTTCTCTAATAATCCAGAAGAAGGTTTTAAACAACGTAAAAGTTCAGATAAATTTAATGTTTTGAAAAAAAATTTCGCAAATGGAGATATCCAATACATCACTTTTGTATACATGAGTTTCAACTTTATATTTTATGTTACATATTATTACAATATTTATTTTAAATTGTTATAAACATTTTCAATGTTTCTAATACATTGTTTCTTTTTAGGTAAAACAGTTATCATTAATTGGGGGTAAAAATCTAGCTGATACAATTAAAAATATTTTGCTCTTGTAAGTAATTAGCAAAAGTTTGAATTTTAACATTTATGATTGACAGTAGAGCATTTATCTTCTTTTTTATTATGTAGACTGCCAACAGACACTATTTTGTCAGAATATTCTTATTAGCTTAATAATGTGTTTGATTAATTAAAAATTAAAAATGATGTTTTTTAATTTTTAATGAATCAAACACATTAGTAAGCTAAAAAATTTAATTTCTTTGGCTATGGAACATGACATGTATTCAAGTGTATGTATACATGACAATTTTTTTTAATGATCTTTTTGAAACATGTTTTGTTGTTTTTATTAGAAGCTGCTTTAAAGTCAAGTAAAAACTTAATCAAAATGGATACCATCCAACTTATTGGAAAAGTAATTAGGCATTCTTCTGACCGAATAAAGAGAACATCCACTAATATGGATTTCGATCAATGATGGCTTAACTGTTGTATTTTATTTATTTTTTTCCATTTTTAAGCAATTTTCTTTTATTTATAATGCACTATCGATTATATTCTACTGTACCTATTAGTTTTTAATTTGAAAATGTAACTTTGTTTGAAAAATTATTCTTATTTTTTGTAAAGTTATTAATTTATTTTAAATATATCAAATTACACTTTATTTACATTGATTTCTTTTTATAACTTCCCTTGCCTAGATTAAGGCAAATCTAAGGTTTGTGTTGTAAATCATTGCATTTTTATATATTTTTTAAAAGAATGTCTTGGTAAAATTTAAACGTCTCTTGGACGTCTGAAAAAGACGTCCTTAAGTCTTTAAAATTAGATCAGCCAGAGATGTCTCTAGAACGTCAAAGAACGTCTCTAGGACGACTTAAAAAGACGTCTTTAGGACATCTGGAATAGACGTCCTCAAGCCTTTTATTTGAGACCAACTAAGGATGTCTTACGGACGAGACTTAAGACGTCTTACGGACGTTCTTAGGACGTCAAAATGCCCGCTGGGTTCTTTTCTACGCTTTGAGATATTTTGTAAGTTAAAGCAAATAATGCACGTGCCTTATCAATTTAAAGCTTTTTTGCACTCATTTTACACATTTACACTATTATAACTGCACGGAGTAAACTATATGCTGCGGAATGGTGATTTGTGTTTAACGCAATAAGATTTTAAGTCTAAATAATAAGATAAATCTTTTAAGTTGTTGCAAACACGATATTGCAGTGATGTATCATAATAGTCCCAAGTATCCTTGATCGGAACTATAAAGTTTTTCTTACTTAGTAATGAAATCAAATGGTTCTTGAAATAGTTCAAGCGCAATATAAAAATAATTGCAATAAAAAACCTCTTAAAAAATTATTGTGTAGTTTTTGATTAATAAAAAAAAAAAAGATCGTCATAATAGTTGAAGTATTTGAACAGTTTGTTAATTGTAGAGTTTTGGTTTTAGCTAGGCAACTTTAACTCTATTTTAAGTTTTGAATTGTTTAAATTGTCCCTGTAAAGTTAAAAATAATTTTTAATTATCTTTCTTTTTTAATTTTATTGGGTACTTAAAACTGGGTATAAAAGGAATCAGTTTCGATTAAGCAATCAAAGTGATTTAGGAAACAATTTGTTATGATTTAAATAAAATGAGGCGTTGACAAAACCAACTTATATCCAATAACACTGCAATCAATTAAGTCAAAACATGGTTATAAGTTTTTTAGGGTTGTCTGTTTGTATTAATCAAAATATAAATGTTTCCAAAATTCAACCATCTTTAGTTAAAATAGATTTATTTAGTTTTTTCATTCTGCATAATAAAGTCTGTAATCCATTTAACTGTTAAAAAAGTTTTTAAACAAAAGTATATTTATGTAAACACAACAGTTCTTTACGCCAAAAACCGCAATATTCGACAGATGTCTCATATTATGTAATTATTGACAGTATCTCACATTTAACAATTAAAATATAAGTATAATAGTTTTAAGTTTTAAATATTGTTCAAGATAATGTTTCAATATATTTTACGTTTTAATATATTTTACGTAAGAGTAAAAGTCTAAACAAAACTTTTGAAAAAGGTTGCAATGATTAAAATTTCGAATCACACAACCACTAAACGATATTTATAACGATATATATATATATATATATATATATATATATATATATATATATATATATATATATATATATATATATATATATATATATATATATATATATATATATATATATATAAATATATATATATATATAAATAGTAAAATTATCATTAACTGTTTGCAACAATTAACTTGTTACAGTCAGGTAAAAACTAACGGATGACGAACATTTATTTTCAGTAGCTTCAGCCGAATAAATTCCTTCAACGCTTTTATCTAAATTAACAATTTTTAATAATGTCATTGAGAATTGACTGTCAATTGTGAGTTTTGAGAATGAATATATATCGTTCTTTTCAAGTAATCGGTATCCAAATAGCCATCGTATAACTGAGTTTGGTCTATGTTTCACTTTTAATGTAATATCTTTTCCGATTGTTCCTTCAACAGTGTTAATATCTTGATACAAATATGGCGTATCTAAGTGGAAAAAAAACAATATTTTTACGTCAATAAAAACATAAAACAGTTTTGTTGTTAAATGTAAATGAGTGAACTTACTAAGAAACTTTATGTTTTGGATAGATTCAATATCACCAGATGAAACTGTGGCTTTCACTTTAAGGGATGTTACTTTTGTTATTTTTGATATTTTTATTGTCAAGCCTGTAGCGGACACAAAAAAGCTCTCAGGCTTAGTAATAACATCGTACCAGGTAATATTATCATTTGTGAATAGCCATTGAATTAGGTCTGGATTAATGTTGTTTGTACCAAAAACATTCGCATCGACAAATGTAGAATAGCCAGGGCAATAAAATATTTCATTTAATACTATAGTAATGGATGTTTGTACGACTAACTCAAAGTTTAAACTGAATGTTATCAATTCTAATAACGGGTTACCTTCGGTGAATATATATCTACAAATAAAAGCAAAAATAATGCATTTTGTGTTAGTTGACACAACTGTATTGGATTTTTGTTGATTGGTTCAACCATACGTTGCGTTGGTTGGACTAACTACATTTTACGTTAGTTTGCGTAACGCAGAGATAGGGTATATTTTTTCAGGCCAACTATCATAAAAAAACTATTCCCTTATAGTTTAATCATAGATAACTGCCCAGATCATCCTAATTGTTGACCTAAAACATCTCAAAGCAATTGTATTAGTATTTTTACCACCAAACACAACCTCCAAAAGTGGACCAGAGAGTCATAAGGCCATTAAAGGTTTTTTATTAAACGAATGTTGTGAGGCGTCAGATCAAATACATCGATGCTGGTAAAACGACCACAAATATCAAAACTCTTGAAGCTATGAGCATGTTGGTCAAGTCATGGAATGCTGTATCGACAAACACTGTAATGAAATGTTTTAGAAAAGCAGATATCTCGTATGAAATACAGGTTGCTAGTAGAAATGGTGAAGATGATCCTTTCGAGTTGTTTGAAGAAAGCGTCAATAAGTTTTGATCACGTGGTTTAGAAGACAAAGTTTTTGCTGTTGAAGATTACATAGAAGATACATAAATTAATGTTGAAGATAAATAAAGATCTTGATATATGTACAAGCGAAGCAATCGCTCTCACAGATCGAGAAATTCTGGATTTCATTTTAATCAACAATTGTGCTTAGGTAGATAAAGAGATAGATGAAGAATCAAACAATTTGCCTCCCAAAAAGCCAAAATTATTAGATATTTCACGTTAATAGAGTTAATTGAATGTTCGTCTTGTCCGACAATTGCCAAGCCTAGTATCAAAGATGTTTGATAAATATTCTTTTGAAGCAAAAAAGCAATCAAAAATGGACAATTTTTTCATAAAAATTTAATTTTTATTATAACTTTTTTAACATTTAATTTATTTTTTTAGATATTAAAGACAAACTTATTCTAAAGTTTTTCTTCTTTTTCACTTTCTACTTCTGTTAAAATTTGATTGTAACATTAAATAGGTCACTTTAAAGAAGATTTTTTAGTTATTTGAACTTTTGGTTATTTGAAGTAAATTCTTGTTCCCCTTTGAGGCTCGAATAACTGGGAGTTTACTGGAACTGAAATTATTTAAATTTTTACATTTTTTTTTATATGACGTAATTAAAGAGCAATAACTGGAATTATTTGAACTTTTCTTTTTTACTTTATATGAAGTTATTTTTTTATTAGTTTCTTTATATGAAGTTACTTTTTTACTAGTTTTATTAGACTATTATTTTTTACTTATATGATTGAATAATAACTGAAATTGTTTGAACTTTTACATAAAGTAATTGAAGAACAATAACTGAAATTATTTGAACTTTTAGGACAATACTGATTGTTTTTTTTTTCTATTAAAAAACAATTAGTATTGTCCTAAAATGAAATACTTATTTTTTGTCCCTAAGGTGAGGAAAAAGGTCAAGAAAATAAAATTAAACAGAATGATAAAAGTACTATATATGCTGGTGACAATGAAATTCAATCGGAAGAATATGATGATGATATGATGCCGATGATAAAGTACCTGATAAAGGCTCGATAAGTTCATCAATTTTATCAAGTGTGATCTTATTCCACGTGACTTAAAACTGATTTATAGTATATCAGTAAAAAAAAAAAATTTGTAAAAAATATATTCTATTATAAATCAGTAAATATTACAATTATATTAATTACAATGGATAAGAAAAATAATAATAGTGATATCAAGAAAAAAAACGGCGTTTGTATCGAAACGAATCAGGTATCTCAATAAATATGGTTCGTAACATCGTTCAAGAAATGTTTAAAAAAAACGCCATTTTTAAACTTATATCTGGCAACCTAATTTAAACAAATGATAGAGTTGACTTATTGAAAAAAGCAAATAGTTCAAAAGAAAAATACAAACTGTTATAAAAGGAAAATGGAAATTTAAAAGGTTTTTAAATAATATATGAAAGTATGAAAATCTTAGAAAATAGTAATAACGGTATTGAAGAAATATTCATTAATTTTTATGAATATAGAAATTAAAAAACAAAAATAATGGTAAATATTCAATTATCATTTATGACAAATTTATTGTTAAAGAATTTAGGAATAAGCAAATCAGCGCTTAAAAATCATTTCTGATCCTGATATTAATTTTTATAATGATAAAAATTTTAAAAAAATATTTACCCATTATATTATAATGTAAATCCAAATAATATCATTATAAGAATGAAGAACAACTCGTTCCAGATTCTTCGTGGTAATATTAAAAGCATTCAAAAAATTTAAATTCATTAAAACAATTTTTTATATAAAATTAATATTAATTTTCAAATTATTTGTTTCAGCTTGACATGGTGTGAAGGCAAAAATATTGAGAAAAACTATAAAATGATTCGTCAAATTATGACCAAGAGCAAGGTAGTTGGGTACTTGTGTAGTTAAGTCAGATTTAACCCGTTTGGAACCAAATTTTTTTTGTAAATTTTTTAAACTTTCTGTTAGAATCCTGGAATGTGAACACAGGAAAAAAAATTTTTTTGCAAAACAATAGTGTTGATAATGTCTTTGGAAGATATAAATAAATGTTTCCATTTGGGAACGCTGGTCTTTATATCAGATAAATAAAATTAACAGAATGAGCAAAATATCAAATTATTTATGTTCCCATTTGGGAACGCTGGATGGGTAAGTATAACGACTATTGATTATGATTATGATATGGGTTAAGTAAAACCACTATTGATTATGAGTCTTTGTGCGTTGAACTTGTTAATAAAATAAAAAATATTATTGTCCATGCTTTATACAGACAACTTTCAGGTTGAATTAAAGTGTTTAAAGACTGACTTGATTTTAAAAAAATAAACAGTTTATCTGGTTTGTGACTTGAACCTCAATATTTTGGATTATGATAAAAACATTAGGCAATTTTTTAATGTCATATTTGAAAATAGTTATGTTCCTACTATCAATTAACCTACGCGCGTAACTAAAAAAAGTGAAACTTTAATAGATCATATTATTACTAATGACTTCATCAATATAAAGATAAAACAGAAATAATTAAAAGTATTTTTGATCATATTCCCACATTCATTGTTTGCACAAAAATGTAATAAAAGTGATTTCCACAAAAAAAAAAAAATAACAACAAGATTAATAAACCTTCAATTAAATATTTTCATAAACTTTTATCAAGAATTAACAGGGATGGCCTGTTCCTGAATCTAAACGCTGATAAAACCAATGGTATATTTATATCAAAATATTATAAATATTATTTTAAGGCATTTTCCTTAAGTTTCAAATTTGGTTAAATCAAAAACGTTATTAAACACTTGGATAACTAAGGGTATTTTTAAATCTTCTATAAAAACAAACAGCAAATTTCTTAAAAAAAACCTTTGCCATGAAAAACACAAACTATAAACAAACTTTGAACGCCTCTTTGAGTCAATCACAAAAACTACGAACACCTCTTTGAGTCAATCACAAAAACTACGAACACTTCTTTGAGTCAATCACAAAAACTACGAACACCTCTTTGAGTCAATCACAAAAACTACGAACGCCTCTTTGAGTCAATCACAAAAACTACGAACGCCTCTTTGAGTCAATCACAAAAACTACGAACGCCTCTTTGAGTCAATCAGAAAAACTACGAACGCCTCTTTGAGTCAATCACAAAAACTACGAACGCCTCTTTGAGTCAATTTTAAAAAAATAATAAAGAAAACTTTTAATCAGATCAATTAAAAAAGTTTTTTTTGACGTTTTTTCTTTTTTGGTTGGCTTACGTGAGGGTAGATTAAATTCAACTTGCAGACGCCTTTTAACAGTCCGGGTGCTCACTCCAGCAGGTTTGGGAAGCAATACCAACCAAGCACATGTTTGAATGAGCAATTTCAATTCTTCGGATAAGCCTATCAGTTTCTGCTGACATCACTCGAGGTCGACCAGAGCGTTCACGAGATTTGTAACTTTCCAATATAGTTATCCTGGTCAGAATCTCGGACAATGATGACTGGGACACGATAAGAATCTGAGCAATTTTTCGTTGGGACTTATTTTTCTGGCTCAGAATATGAACCTGAACCCGTTGTGCAGTTGTTAATTAATTAGAACGCACCATTTAACACACTTATTTGATTTTAAAGAAATGAAATTTATTTTTTTCATGTTTTATTTATTGCTTTTATATATTTTATCCTATAAATTATTTATAAAATGATTAAGATAAAACAACAGAATTCTAATTTAATTAATTAAATTAATTAAAAAATTAATTTATTTTTATCACACAAATCTCTGTAATCTTGCAGCTAACCTGAACTCGGTCCTAACAAACTTTTAACTGACACAGAAAATGAAAATAGTCAACAGCCAAATATTCTTTATGAGTTTACTAATCACAAATTAATTATTGTCAGTTATGGCTTGTGATTGGCATATATAAAGGGAATTCTGGTGCAAAATGGTTTTTTACAGATAGAGCTTGTTCTTCTAATTTAAAGTGATTGACATTAAATTATTATGTTAAATAGTGATTGATTTTAAATTATTATGTGACAAAATGCCAACATCAGCTGCATCTTTTTTGAAATTTTTGCAAAATTTGTTTTATACACCTATATACATATATATATATACATATATATATATATATATATATATATATATATATATATATATATATATATATATATATATATATATATATATATATATATATATATATATACATATATATATATATATATATATATATATATATATATATATATATATATATATATATATATATATATATATATATATATATATATATATATATATATATATATATATATATATATATATATATATATATATATATATATATGTATAAATATATAGGGTTGCCAGATACAGTCGCTTAAAGGTGGACATAGATAAGCCAAAAAGAGGACAAAGGATGACATAATTTATTTTAGTAATACTTTATAACGGAAGGTTTTTAGGAATTTAGGGCGCTAATAACTGTTATTATAATGGTGATGGGAAGGGGGAGGTGAGACTCCGAAGCTATAACCACGGTACTGACACCGGATGAAAATAAAAAACAAAGTATAATAACAGTTAGTGTTATATAAAAAAATATTATTTGAAATGCCAGTTGCTTTAGCTTCGCAGGCTTTTTTTGAGCAATATCGTTGAGTTTTAGGTTAAAAAAAAGACGTCAACTTATTTAATGACGCTGACACTTTGGTTAGGTTTGGTTAGGTTTGGTTAGGTAGCTTTAGCAGCTGAAAGTTTCTAACGTCCATATAATTGCTTCTACAAGCCAACCATCTGATTTTACAAGCACAATGTCCAATTCTTCCAGCATTTTACTACATCTACATGCAATATTATTATCGCATCATTTCAAAATCTCCAAGGTTTATCATTGCAATACCAAAGCAGTCACTGAAAAGGAGACTATGAGGACAAAAAGGAAAAAACGCAATCCTGACCTCCTTTCCATATAGAGTCTCGCAAAGCTATTCACGAGTCTCGCAACCTGAATAAAAATGAGCGAAATCTATCTAAAAAAGGTAAAAAGCTCAAAATGAAAAACTAAAATGGTTATGCATTTAAAAACATAGAAAATGCTGTAATAGATGGACAAAACATTACATCTAAAAAAAAGACAATGAAAATTTAAAGAAAGACTTTTTTTGGAGCACTTAGGAACAGTTACAGTAAAAGGATGAGACTTAATTGAATGAAGAGTAACACGAGATTGAATTTTAGTAGATGAAATAAGAAACGCTAGCTCTTTAGAGCAGTGCCTATTATAGTACTTATAGAAAAGAAAAAGAAAAGCAACATAACGACAATGTGATATTGTTTGAAGGTTGGCCAAATAAGCAGGTCCAACTATGTTTACAATCCGCCCCAGATATGGCAACAGTATTCCATACAAGGGCGGATTTGAGAATTATAGGGATAAAGATTAGAATCTTAAGTAAGAAAGTCGCGAGCTCGATAAAGAGATAAAACTCTAGCAGATGCTAGTTTTGCAATCAATTTGATATATGGTCTCCAAGAAAGATTGGAAGTAAGAGTTAATTAAATTGTGTTTCTTGTAGTGATTGTCACAGTTGGGCACATTAGTCGTACACTGATTTAGAAAAAAAAAGATAAAAAGCCAAGTTTTACATATGAACTATGCTTAAACATTGGATAAAGTCTACAACATATGTTATTGTTACATTGTATACCCCATTTTGCCCCTAGCATGGCTTAAAGTAGTTTTTTTTTCGAAGTTTTTTAAATCTTAAATTTTTATTTATTTTTATCAGTTTTTTGATGACTTTTCCTTAAGTACCCCATAATACTCCAGTTTCCTCTCTCTCTCTCTCTCTCTCTCTCTCTCTCTCTCTCTCTCTCTGCCAAAATAATGTCATAATGCCATGAACCTAAACTCATTTAAAATAATGCTAAAATGGCATTCTATATTGCCATCTGGAAGTCCTGCTTACATCTTGTTCATGATATATTTAAAAGGTTTAATGAAAAAAAAAAAATAGTTTAAGTGCCTTCGTAGATCTATGTAAAGCCTTTGATACAGTTGATCTGTATAATTAACTGTAAAAAAGTCTAAACTTAGATATTGCAGTTTGAAATACTGACTATATGAATAAACATTATTTCAAACTACGATAAATCCTTCAAACTTAAGAATTGGATATTCAAACATTTGGAACAATCCGAAAATATTCAGCCTTCGTTTTTGTAGATCTTTTCAATAACAATACCCAAAAATACTTGTTGAAATCATTGCAGCAGAATAAATGAATCTTAAAAATCAAATCTAAAATGTACAGGACTATATTCTAGATATAGATCTCCTTACAAGTACAAAAAAACACTGTTTCATAAAAATTAAAATTGTTTAAATACAAGGAACAGAAAGGAAAGCTTGAAAAACATGTTGCACAATGCTACTTTTTTTGTACACAAGGTATTCGAGTTTCTGGTTATTTGAATTCCCAATAGATTTATATTAAGAAGAAGTTCACCAAGTACAAAATAAATACATTCGAAATGCAAAACTAAAGCTTAAAAGTAAAATTTTAAAAGAAAATACAGTGGAAAATCATTTCCTTTGAATCTCATTAAATATTGTTACGTAGTAATTTGATAGTATCATTTTTAAACTTCAAAATAACTAAATAACTAAACTTATTGGTGCTGTTAACTTAGATTTTAAGTCAGGATTTCTTACCCTGTGGTTCTGTGGTTCGAATGGAAAAATTTATATATTTTCAATTGATAGTTAATTGCAAGATATGTGAAGTTCATTATTAAACAAAAACAATGTTTAGTTTTTCATTAACTGAAGTGTATGTTTGTAAATAAAATTATATTCTTCGTTACAGATTCTTGAAAATGTCAATACACTTACAGTTTCACTTTTGTTACTGAAAGAGATAGAATGTAGAAAAAAAAAATTATGTAATAAAGTGCTAATGTCAGCATGAAGCCAGAAAAATTGTCTTAACATCTTAAATCTGCCCACCAGGAAATGTAATGTTGATGTTTTTCGTGCTCAACTTGCGAAAGATGTCTTTTATCCAAACTACAACACAAACAGCTGTTTAGAAGCATCATACAAAGTTGCATATTGCCTTACATTACAAAAAAATCCTACACCATTGCAGAAACTCTTCTAAAGCTTTGTTCACTAGACATAGTAGAACTGGTGTGTGGTAGCGATCAATAAAATAATGTTGAAACGGTGCCTTTGTTAAATGATGTTATCTGTTCTAGAATTGTTGAAATGTCTTCCAACATTTAACAACACGTCATTAACAAACTGAATTCCTTGCCATTTTCATTCAGCATGCAACTGAACGAGAGCACAGATGTATCACAATGCAGTCTGCTATTTTTTTTTGTACGTTACGTACATCTAAAACACAAAGTATGAAAGAAGAGTTTTTTTTATAACACATTGGAAACTACAGAAGCAACAGATGTTTTTAGTATCATTTAAAGTTTTCTTCAAAACATGACGTTGGTTGGAAGAATAAACTCAAATGTTTGTGTACAGATGGAGCACCTGCAATGCTCCATCTTTCACCTGCAAGTAAATCAATGATGAAGATTATATTAAAGATGATTTAATTGATATGAGATCTAAAGCAGTAATGCGAGTTGAGTATTATGCAAAGGATTTTGATGTAGTTTAAAAGAAGTTTACCCTCTCTTTGTTAAATGAGCAATGCCCATATTAATTCTCTTTGTTACTATGTACCTTTGTGAGTCAAGATTTTCAGCATTAGTGTCAATAGAAACTGAAAATTGTAACCGGCTATACGTCGAAAAAATATGCGTCTAACGTTGTGTAAGACAAATCCTCAATTTAGTGTGGTTATTGAAAAGAAATAGCGGCTAGTATTTCATTAAATGACTATTATGCACCAAACTTTACTTGGTGCTAATAAATAAAGGTGTTTTTTTTCATGCATTTTTTTAAATATAAATTTACATTTAAATTTGAAAGGGGTCCGTCAAATTGCTAAAATTTTGAAAAATTTAAAGAAAAAGGATTTAAACGAAAGGTTTAACACCTTAGAATCACTGTTCTAAGGTGTTAAACCTTTTGCTCAATGAACAACAAATATGCTTTAAATAATATTTTTGAATGCCATGTTTGTAATTTTAAATATTGGCTTATATATATAAACATGCAATATAGTTTTAAACACTTTTTAAAATTATTTTTCCTACTACTGCTAATTGTCATGGGCTTCATCCATAACGTATTTTTTGTAAAAAGAAATTGCAGACACTGCACTAACAAGGTCTTATATCCTTACTTAAAATATAAAAAAAGTCAACAACAACAAAAAAAATTTGACATTTTTATCTAAATCTTTGCTAAAATATTGTACTTTAACATAAATTTGCGTGATTTTTAATGTTCTTGTTTTGGGTTTAATAATATATGTTCGGAATTCGCAAATTAGAAACTTCTGTTCGGAATAAAGTCCAAATCCTTTATTCCGAACAGGTTCCGACAAAATTTTAGTGACAAAATAATGACAAAATTTTCGTTATTTATTTACTTGTTACCTGATATTGTTCAATTTAGTTTAAGCTTCAATTTATTTGTCTGAAGAAATTAATTTAAGTTTAAAAAAAGAGTAAGCTGTTTTAGCGGTTTTGTTGGAAAATAATTTATAAGTGTAACGAAAACATACCCTTGCAAACATTTGAGTAATGCACAATAATAATCTGGTTGAACTTAATCAGTTATAAACTTATATTAATGTAACATAAATATATAACTAAAATAAAATTAAAAAAAATTTAATTTATAGAAAATTGTCGAACAAAAAGAATTAACTTACTGAAGAGTATATCGTCCACTAAATTCTTTTATAGGATTTTTAATTTGTAAGGACGATTTTTCCGGTGAGTTTCTACAGACAATTTTAATAAGGGGTACAAACTCAATAGTTGCACCATATCCTATTAATGTGAATGAAGAACAAAAGGTTGTCCCAAAATGATAAAAGTATATATCTCTATTTTTTCCTATTTCAAAAGGTATCTCAATAAAATCTTTATTGTTTTCGTCGAGGTGTATAAAACCATCTAAATCAACCAATGCAAACCATACCTACAAATAAAACGATAAAATAAAACGCAAAAAATCAATTTATTAAACTAATAATGGGCTCTGGCTAATCACACACACACACACACACACACACACACACACACACACACACACACACACACACACACACACACACACACACACACACATACACACACAGATACACACACAGATACATACACACACGCACACACACACATATACACACACACACGCACGAAAAAACAATAAAAACAAGTTGATTAAAAAGTTTTGAAAGCAAAAGTGAAAGAATGTGTGTTATTTAATGAAATTAGTTTTTTTACTCAATATAATCTTGTTTATTTTGAACACACTCATTCCAATAGTTTTCTAATAATTTTATCTGTATAATCTTGTTTATTTTGAACTGTATTATCTCAATATAATCTTGTTTATTTTGAACACACTCATTCCAATAGTTTTCTAATGATTTTCTGGAAGCAAGAAACTGTTCCACGACTGCAATAGCGAAAAATGTGAACACGTACAATGTCTTTATTCAAATTTTTTTCTATCCATCTGGTCCAGAAAGTTACAATAATATTCAGAGTTCGTAGTTTTACTATTTTCAATATAATCAATCAACAAAATCCCTTCTTGCATCCCAAAAAACAGTCATTGACACGTAACATTAAATACCTTGTAAATAAAGAATGAATTAATAAATCAAAATATTATTTCTTGTTTGTTTAAATAAAAGACGAATTATTTAAATTTTGATTCTACTACTGGTAAATAGGTTTCAAAACATTTTAACCAATTTGTAGATATGATAATAATAATAATAATGTTAATATCATATAACATAATAAAACGCCCAATTTTAAAGCAACACAATAATAGACTCTTTTTAACATAACTATTTTAAAAGTTTAAAAGTAATTATATTAAACTTATTGTTTTTAATATAATAATATACTTTTAAACCATTTTTAAATTTAATTAATCTTGATCTATTTTTTTTTTTTTCAAATTTATTTTTTAGCTTTATTTATTTACAATTTTGTTGGTAAAAATCATATATAAATGTAAACAAAATGTTATGAGCTATGTTATGAGAATTGAACCTTTATTTCTTACATAAGGTTTGCTTAATACGTCTAAGAGATTTTTAAAATTGATTGCTTCACATCACTAAAAGATTTTGAATAGGAAAATTAAATAACCCTTCGCTTTTTGTGCTTCTGAAGACAAACTTTAAATATTTTTTCTCCAACTTATTTAAAAAATGCAAAGATTATTCTTTCGACTAATTCAAGTTTCCAATTTCCTTAATAAATATCATGCATAATTTGCACAGACAGTGTTTTGGAATCCAATTTTTAATTTTTATTTTGAAGTCTTTTAAACATGGTGCTTTTTGACAACCCGTCGGAGAGGAACTCGTATTTCATAGTTTGAATTTTATTCAATGCAAATTTTTCAATTCTTAATTTAGTATCCACAAAAAAAAAACCTCTTACATAGGTAATGGTACAATCCGCATTTTAACTTTAAATATTTTGTCAAAAGAAGTTTGGTAGTTTTGAAATATAATTCTAAGTGCTCTAGCGTGGACGTAGTTTATACTATTGTTTAGATTTTTGCTATGAAGCATCCAAACTGATAGATAAAACAAAAAAATTAATACGAACAGTCATAACAATGCCAAAGATCTGTAATAAACTTTTAAAGAGCGCATGACTACCTAATTTAATAACAAATTCGTGTCTACAATTTTTTTGTTTTAGGTTTTCTTACTTTCATGCATTTTTTATTTGAGTACCTTTAAATTATTTTATAAAATTAACTTGAATTTCCTGTTTGTTGCAACTTATTGGTAGCTGTTGGTTGGGTTCAACAAATTACTATTCAAATACGGTTAAAAAAGCAATGGATAATAAAAGGTATATTGTATTTAAAGTTTTAGATGTGTTGTTGTCAAGGTTGGGGTCAAATACATTTGATCAAATACAAATACGTTAATTTTAGATTTCCACACACAAATACAAGGGTAAACTCTTGCTTGTCGCTAATTTTTTTAAACCTAAACTACAAATATTTGTATTTACAAATATTTGTATTTGTATCTGCCGCCTGGGGCGGAATCAGATTTGCACAGCAAATTAATTTTTATCACTTTTAGTTTTGAAAAACTTCTCTTGCAACTAGCCACACTTACAGCAATTGTAAGAAAAACCTGTTGCAGTATAACGATATTACTAATTTTCTTCTTCTTAAAACTAACTGCATCTCTCTTTGCACTCCATTGATCTTGCATCTCGCAGCATGCACACCTGAAATTTAGTAAATGGTTTGTACATGGAGTAAATTCTTCTTTGCCGTTGATTTCCTTAACGCGCATTATCGTATGCTTGTCCTCCATAATTTTAAATATCTATTCATCACTTTCTAATTTTTTAAATATCATAGTTGAAGTAGAATCAGCATTTTTCCCTTTTGTATCATCAAAATCAGCAAAGGATTACACAACATAGACTTGGTTTCCATTAATCCTAACGCAGCATAAAACTTGAATGATTTGATCATCATGAAAAATATCAGGGATGCTGTCAAACACCAATAATTAGATTCTAATACCTGTTCAATGATTTTTCTTTTGACTTTTTTTCCAAAAATTTAAGTAAACACGTTTAGAATGGTAGATTACAAGAAAAGGGCCATCCATAAAGTACGTGCGCAGGTATCGGGGAAAGGGTTTCCCAAAAGCGCACAAACGCGTACTGTGAGGGGTGTTAAAGACAGTGAGTACGTACGCGGTTTAACTATATCCCCTTAACTTAGGGAGGACGGGGGAGCTTTATTTAAAAAATAAAAAAAAGCGTACGTACGCGGAGGGGAGGGGTATTTAAAAGCGTACAGGTTCGTACAATAGGGAGGGGGTCCCAAATCAGTGGCTTTACTGCGTACGTACTTTATTGATGCCCCCAAAGATAAATAATTTTTTTAAATACGTTAAATAAGTTTTTAAAATAAATTTAAAATAGTACTTACGGGGCAACCCTCCTCTACCACCCCATTATTTTTCCGCCATTAGAAAAAATGCAAATTATTTTTTAATACAATATTGATAAACTGGTATACTAAATAGAAGTCTACTGAATTGTCTAGGGAAATTATTACGAAATTCATTACTTAGCTATTGAATTAGGATTAGCTCTCACATAAGCTAATCCTAAATTTCAGAAATGTCATACACTCATTAGAGTATTTGGATGTGTTTTTAACCATGAGCCACACGCTGAAGTGTAAAATTTCTTTAATGGCTTAAATAATGATCTGTCAAATCGTTGGAGTTTGTGAATGCAATGGGGTGGCAATGTCAAGAGCACAACATTATTTTCTTAGCTTTATCCATCACCAATCGATATATGACTTTTGTGGTTGTCTATTATTAAAAGTAACTGGTGATCCTTGCTAGGATGTCCATAATCCACAAAATGATTAAACTATTTCAAAATATTTCTGCATTTAACCGTCCACTAGGATTTGTATCACTTTTGGTACCTGTCGATGCACCTTTGAGCATGTGGCTATGCATGTGGACACAAGGAAATATCAAAAAAGGTGGAATAGAATACAACCCACCATTGTAATTTGGATTTTCCTTTCAGTTTACTGTTCTATTTCGTCGGCTCGAAATACACAGCTCGGCCACTGTGTTTAAATTGAGAAATTTGCATTCAAAGTTTAAAGTAAAAAATCTTTTAATGTAAATTTAATTTCATGTTGAAATTTAACAAAGTTGACTAAACTCAGTATAAGTTTTTATTTAAGTTGTTGAAAAAAAAAAAAAAAAAATTCCCCTCGTAACTAAGAGCACTGTTTTTCAAATACGACAAATGTATTTCGAAATCAGCACATTTTTTCGGAATACAATTGTCATAGATGCCATTAATTTGATAGTAGATGAATTAAGGTTAAATTTACTAAAATTGTAACTTATAACTTTAGAATAATTTTAGTTTCACTGTCCTTCGAATTTTTTTTCCTTGAATCCGTTCCCGGTAAACGATTTGTCAGCATTATATTTAGTCTAAATATAATGCTGACAAATCTAAATTTTAGAAATATAGTTTTTAATCTGCAAGCTTCTTATATAGAAATTAATAAGCTTCTTATACAAATATACTTATTAATAGAGTATGATGTAAGGTTTCACTTACTAAATTTATAAATAAGTAAACATTCCCAACTTATTCCTTTTTTACATTAAGTAATTTTTATTAATATTATTTTTTTTTCGAATAATTGAAAAATAAAATAACTAATTTATCACACATATTTTTTAATTTGTCTGTGAAAAATGATATAAATAAGTTAAACCATAAATATAAAAAACAACCATTTCCATTATTGTACCTTTTTTTTTTACAATAAAGAAATAAATATATAAAATGTTTATTAAAACATTGTACAAAATGATATATTTAATTGTTCAGACTTTGTAACTTAAAAAGAGTATTATAAAGTTCAAGATCATCACCAACAAAATATTTTAACATGCACTCAAGATCATTAATTTTTTTATTTGAGAGCAAAAAAAGGTGTTAAATGATTATTTAATGGAGGAAATTTTTTCAAAACTTTTACTTTCTGTTTATTATTTCTTTAGGAGGTACCTTTTACCAATCTTTCATCAATTAACAGACCTGAGAACGATTTTTTGAATTTAATATGAAAATGAAGATGTTTTTTTTGACACATTAGTTTTAATTTTGCAAATGGCACTTTATGGAAATACAAAGACTTGGAAGCAAGTTTGAAGTTTTTGAAGTCATCTTTGTACATTTGTATGACTTTCAATTCTACTGCAGAAGTCTTTTCAATAGATAACAGTAATTTGAATAAGGTAGGAAGACTGTAAATCTCATAAAACTATGCGCAGTATCAATCAAACTATGCGCAGTGTCAATATTTTGTACTGAACTATGACCAGGTTCGTTATACTTCTGTTCAATGAGTGGTATTCAGCTTTCATTTAGAAAAATTTTTATTGCCATAGACACAATTGAGTTCTTATTCTGGGGAGTACAAGTATCAGACCACAAAATAACTTGATTAATTGGTAAATTAGGACAGTCTTGAACAATTAACTTTAATAGTTTATACAGACAACTTGCAAGTTCATTTGCACCTCTACTAGCGATAGATTCATTCCAAAGTACACAATAAGTTTTTATATTCAATGAACAGTGGGCGGTAAAATTATAGCAATTTAAATTTCTTTTATAATAGAATGCAGAAATATTAGCAATTGGAAGGGGAAATACTTTTTCTAAATCAAGTTATAACTGCTGTAGTTTCGTAATCTCCATTTGCAACTTTAGTTAGGTCACTTTTTTTTTGTCGAGTTAATAGCTAGTAGACTAATTCATACACACTCTACGCGAAATATAAATAATGGAAAACTTATTGCACCATCATATAAAAATTATGGTTAGAATTCTGTTGTGTATCAGTGCATCTGTGAATGGAACAAGAGCCTTGTGAATGAGTTCAATAAACTCTAACTCCAAACTCCTTTGTCATCTTTTCTTAATCTTAATCAAAATCAATTTTTAAAAATTCTGAAAAATATTTTTTGTTATAACTTTTTTCTATTACTATAATAATTATCCATATTTTTTGTTTGTTTCTCTTTTCTCTTTTATTATTACCTATATATATATGGTTTTTAAAAAGTTTACTTTATGTGTGTCTATGTTTTATGTCTATATGTTTATTATTAGTCATATTATTTTGAAAAATGGTGTCACTCCTTTGATCAGACTTCTGTATAAGTGGCATCATCCATACTAATCATTAACTTATTATATCAAGAAATAACATATCATTTTACTTATTATTATAGTAATTATTATTATTATTTATAATTTTTTTTTGTAATTATTATTATTATTGTTATAAATTATTACTATTGCTTATTATTTTATAGTTATTGTTATTATTATTTACCTTATTATTGTAAAAATAATTTTAAAATGGAAAATCAATAGCTTGTTGTTGTTGTTGTTGTTGTTGTAACTTACTCTCTCTTTATGCTGCAGTATTTTTTGATCATATTCTTTGTTTTTATACTCTTGACATAAATCACACAAATCTTTCTTTGGTTTATGAAATGCCAAATTAAACTCCTATTCAAAGTTGAATAATAAATATCTTTTTATTAATTAAACTCTGGTAAGCTTGTGTAAACGACTTGCATAAAAAGTTCATTTACAACAAATGATCTACTGAACTATATTGAAAAAAAATTTAATTGAGCTATCGGATAATTTTTTTTGAATCAAGGTTTTTGAAGAAAGTATCTGCATTTGTGCGAGAAAAATAGTTGTTCGACTCAGGCTTTTGGCATACAAAAAGGCGGTTTAAGAATAAATAAAACCATTCAGTTCCAGTTGTTTCACTCCTTTCCCTGTTTTTTGGTATTTTAATGTCATTTTTAATTGCATATTTATATGGAAATTGCTTTGTTTCTCTAATCATAATGCATATTAGATGCTTGACAAAAATATATTGAAAGTTTATTTTCTTGTGCCTTATTAAAAATATTTTTACATGTTAAATATTTCACGTAGTAAATAAAAAAGTAAGTGTTTTGCAATAATGAAAAAATTACAAGGTTTAAATAAAAAATAATTTACAAAAATATAAAAAGTTCACAAAAAATTTTGTAAAGAAATTTTGACAGATAATTTAACAGCAATTTGGCTTGCAGATCGTAAACAATTGAATTACAAATCATATCAAGAAAAAATGATTATATAAAAGTTAAAAAAAAAATTTTTAAATATTAAAAAAAAAATTCTTATAGATAATATAGACAGACAATATAATAGCATTACAGCCTTGCAGAACGTAAATAGTTGAAATAAAAATCATACAATTAAAATCATATATTACAAATCATATAAATCGTATATCGGTTTAATTATAAATAAAAAGAACTTTTAAAAGTACATTCTATATAGTCAATTTCAAAAACTACTTCTTTCAACTATTTTTTAAATGATATGTAATTCCATTCAAATGAAAAATCAAAGTTATTTAAGACAATTTTGTTCCAAAGATACGGTCCACGAAATAATATGTAAAATTTGCAATGATTAGTTTTCAAAAATGGTTGCATCAAAAAATCATCATTTCGTAGATCGATTTATTTTTTTGTTATAAATAAACTATAAAAAGAAGACGGAGATAATTTTGTATATGTGTTTAAAACATTCAATTTTCTTCAGAGAGGCTTTGAATGAGTTCGTCGGTCACAAGAATTAACTTTACGTGCTATATGTTTCTGATGACGATGAAGAGGCTCTAGTTTACTTTTGTTAGTACTGCCCCCACGCAATATTTGCATAGTTAATATGGCAGTGAATAAGTGAATAATACAGTTACATTAAAATGCGCATGTTTAAATAGATTTTTGATTTGTATAATATTCCTATACTTTTTGAAATTTTGTTGCTTAAATTTTCGATGTATTGTCTCCATGTAAGATTTTCATCAATATATATTCCTAAAACCTGTGTAGTTTTTACTCTTTTACTTGAATATTATTAATGAAGATAGATGGTGTTTCGTATGGTATTAGTTTTTTTTTCGGAAAGTGGGTGAAATAGAGTCCTATTAGTTTTGTTAATATTTACTGAAAGTTTATTTTACTTTGAACCAGTCGGAAACCTTTTTAAGCTCTAAGTTCATAGTTCCAAATATAGTAATGTTGCTGTGCGATAACAATAAATTTGTTTCGTCGGCAAACATTATTGTCCTCAGGCTGAATACTTTATGGAGATCATTTACATATAAATGAAAAAAAAGAGGCCCAAGTATAGAACCTTGTGGCACGCCACAAGTAATATTTAGTAACGTTTTTGGTGATTTATCATCAATGTGTACATATTGAGCACAATTATTTAAATAACTCTTTACCCTGTGATTTACTCCTGTGATTCCAAATCATTCGAGCTTTTTAATAAGAACTTGATGGTCAGTAGTATCAAAAGCTTTTGTTAAATCAATAAAAGTTCCTAATGTATATTCAGATTAATTAAACGACTCGTTAATACTACGTGTAAACGAAGTATTGCATGTTCCGTGGGGTTATTTTTTTTTTGAAACCATATTGATTATTAAATAAAATATTATTGACAGAAAGATGAGCGCTGATATTATTATATAAGATTCTCTCCAGAATTTTTTAAAATACAGGAAGAACAGAGAAAGGGCGATAGTTATTTACATTAGTTGTATCCCCTCTTTTGAATGTCGGCGTTACCATGGTAATTTTAGGTTGAACAAGGAATTAAATTTGTTTATTTTGTTCATCAAAATATGTTTATGCTGTTCATCAAAATATAAAATATTGTAAGGATTTTTTTTGTTAACCTTTATTTTCCGCTTTAAACTTTTCAAATTTTATATTATTGTGCAGATTTAAAGTTATCCAAACTTCAGAAAGAATAGGTTTATATTCTTTTAGAAAAAGGTTCTAAAAGAATATAAACCTGATATATATATATATATATATATATATATATATATATATATATATATATATATATATATATATATATATATATATATAAACCTGATATATATATATATATATATATATATACAATTCATGTATATAATAATAGTAAAAACTTCATATAATATACCTGTCTAACAGCACATTGTGTAGTTATGCATCTAGCCCAACTAAACCCTTCCCAAAAAGGGTTTTCTGGATAAGGTAGTTTTCTATTGGCATTTACTATTAAACAGCTGGGTTCCACGTGATTTTGTTGGCGACCGTTTACGTTACTATACAGGCTACATCGGTTTTGAGACCACCAGGCAGATTCACCAATGTAACACTCTTGAGGAACTCGCTCTCCTTTATCATTAGTTATTTCACTAGCAGTTATGGTTGTCTTACCATAATATATTGGAGCCTCGACATTTTCTATTTGTTGGTATCGTAAATAATTACAAAAACATGTTCATAAATTAATTTAATTTGTAATTGGTTTAAATTAATTAATAATTTAAAAAAAAAATAAAAAAAAAAATTAAAAACCTGGATAGTAACCTCCTCCGCGGCCAAACATACAATCGTAACATGGTGGTATATTACAAACTTCTAAAATACCATTACTATTATAGCAACTAGGAGCATCACCATTGTTATTATTTCGACAATAATTATGATTTCCAATAGCTTCTCCTTTTAAGTTGTTTAATGCATTTAAATCAAGTCTAGGGAATCTAAATAGGGTTAACATATCTTCTTCTACCTTTACTATTTGATTATATATTTTTTTCACAATTAGATCTACATTCCATGGTAAACATGAAAGTCCACTTTGTGTATGATTTGTTGTTCCACGGTATGTTAATCCTATATGATAAAATAAACTCCATAAATATAATATCATATATAATAAACTCCATAAATTTATTCGTTTATACTTATGTCAAATAAGGATGCCTTGCTAAAAATTGCGATGATTGGAGTCTGGGAACAAAAAAACCCTAAAATTTTGTTCACAACTGCCCCAGTTGCGAACAAATAGAACAATAAGTTGATAAAATATTTTTTGTACTATTCTTTAATAAATTTATATTCATCGATAATTTTCAAATTTCATAAAATAATCTCCTAGCGATTCAAAATTATGACCTTATCAAAATGGTAACCTCCTCAAATTGAGGGGGGGGGGTTAAATTTTGTTGCACTACTACTACGCCTATCCCTAAATCAATCTACTGCGCCTATCCCTAAATCAGTCGATATATGTACACTCGCTACCTTTATCCCTAAATAGTATAATGTTCGGCAAATTACTATTGTCGTCAAAATCATTGTGAGTGGGATATGACATAACCAACCAAAATGATATAAAAACAACATTAACGACCGTTGCTGCATTTACGCAACTCGTAAGACTGTTTTAACGCTTTACCGACGTAAGTGTGGATATTACTAGGATAATATTACTATCCTATTACTATTATAGTACTATTACTATTATAATTGAACATTGAATTAAATTGAATTGTATTTTGAAAACGTGACGAGTCACAAAATTAAAATTTTGCAGGAGAGTGAAAAATGTTTCTCCTGTAAAAAATTGTATGAAAATGTATTTTGTAGTTTATATAAAGTAATAAGTGTTTACTTCTTACATCTTAAATCAGAAAATTTTTTTCCGAAGAATCAACTTTTCTAAAAAATTTTTTTTTTTTCAAACAACCTCACTTTTGAAAAAGTGAGGTTGTTTGAAAAAAAAAAAAAATTTTGTGACTCGTCACGTTTCGAAATACAGCGTTCAATTATAGTTAACAGTAAAAACTATTACTATCATAGTATTAGTTAATTTCACGAAAAATTTTTGTAATCAAAATCCTATTTTATCATTTGATTACAATGACAAAATAGGAGGAACATTGGCTCTAATTTATATTTAATTACATTAAATAAGCAACAACAACAACAAAATTTTGCACCTTTTTCGTTCATACAGTTGTACATTTTTGAAAAACAATTCGCTTTTTTAAAAGAACATAACGTCGGATGATAAGGAGCTTCAGTACTAGATTTTAATTTCATAACTATCCAGGTTAGAGTAACTATTGCGCGATTATTAATCATCGCTTTACATTTAACTAACAAAGAATCCCATGAGTATTCGTAATCAGTAAGCTTAAAATTAAAAAATATATATTTTAAACAAACGCTAAATCAAGAAATAAATAAGATTAATAAATAATAATAAAAGTGAATAAAAAAGAGAGTTAACGACATACACCTATCATCCAAGGTTTGAAAACATCCTGATTTTGTGGCCTTCCAACTTGCACACTACCTGCGTAAGGACTACCAGACTTTGCGACGATTTCCCAATCGTAAGTTTCAGCTCCAGGTACTGAGCAATCCAAAAATGTTGTTTCAAAATTTGTTGGTATATCCATATATCGAACAATAAAAAAATCTTTATTTAATGAAAAAAATCTTGCAAGTTCTATATCTAATATAGGAAGTGAATGACATTTGAATATGCAGAGAGCCATTACAAGGCCGCATATCCGCATTTTGATTTCTTACAAGATATTTAAAAAATGTAAAAAAAAAAAAAATACAAATGTAAAGTTTTATTCTCTGAAATTTTTAAGATTTCTTAAAAATTTCTTTTTAAAATGTTTTTAAATAAGACGAAGACCATGCAGTGAAAAAAAGAATAAAAAAAAAAAGAATATCGTTGAACTTAAAATAAAATTTTTGAGTGTTTTTTTGAGAGTGAAAAATTTTTGACAGTGAAAAGAAATTTTTGAAAGAAAGAAAAGAAAGAAAGAGAAAGAAAAGAAATTTTTGAGAGTGAAAAAAGTATGAAAAACAAAAATATATAAACACTTACGTTATTTTTTTTCTTAAAAAAAAATAACGTAAGTGTTTATATGTTTTTTAGTGTTTAAGTGTTTATATGTTTAAAAGAAATTACAAAAACAGAATAGCTTTATTACAAATATAATCGGCAGAACTTCCGGAAGATCTTACAATCTTTATCATGAAGCCCTTTACAATATCAAATATAATAATAATAATAATAAAATAAAATTGTCCAATAAAAATAAATCAACATAAACTATATGTAACTGTGCAATTAAAAAATAAATATACTGGATAAGTTATATGAAATATATAAAACAAAAGAACTAAAAATAAGAAAAAGTATTTTCTGCTAAAAAGATAACTTCTTTTAACTTTCGTTTGAAAAAAGTTAAAGTCCATTTTAAAGACAAATCAAAATTTGGCAAAACTATTTTATTCTATAAATAAGGACTGCGATAAGAAATAATTAGTTGTTCAAATTTAGTTTGGCAGAAAGGTTATTGTAGATTTTTTACATTGCGAAGATTGTATTTGTTTATGGGTTTTACATTACAAAGGTTTATAAATAAATCAGGAGATAAATGATTTTTACATTTAAGCATGAAACATAAAATATTATAAACATTTAGTTCGCATACATTTAAGGTTTTCATTTCTCTCAGAAGTGATTTGAAAAACGATTTACAAAATTAATTAAACGAGCTGCATGTTTCTGATGCTGATAAAGAGATTTAAGTTTAGTTTTGTGCGCGCGTTTTAAAGAGTATATCTTTCAAAACGTCAAAGGAGTCTATTATAAAATTTCCATGGATGCAATCAGCCCCAATTGCCTTATTCCGTTTTCATAATTTAAAGTTGCTTCAAATTCGTTGTATGTTAGGTTTGAAAAATTTAAAGTTAAATTAGGTGATGTTATAAACTCATCAATTGGTTTGTCATTAAGACAATGAATTTTATTTGATAAGCTTGTTTCAATTAAAGAAAAAAAAGTTATTATATTCAAAATTTTATTAGGGTCATTAAATAATTAGTTTTTAATTTTTATTGCATTTGGTACTGATATTTTACCTTTCTTATTTTTTCCCGTGATCTCTTTCATTAGTTGCCAAATACGCTTTGAATTATGTTTATGCTTTGCAAACAAGTCAGAGTAGTAATTTCTTTTTGCATTTTTGCGGAGTTTTTCGAAATTATTTTTGTCAATTAAGTAGTTATTTTTATGATGGATATTTTAGATATTTAATATGCAGTTTTTGTTTCACTTTTGATGCTTTAAGTCCTTTAGTTATCCAAGGACATGATACGTCCGTGGCGTTAAGGATAATTTTACGAATAGGAAAGTTTGCTTCATATATGTTAAATATTTTTTTTAGGGTTTGACTGATATAAACCAAAATTTAAAAAAAAATCACTGAATTTTAGCTTCCTTTTCCTAATAAATTTTTGAAGAAACTTGAATTTTTCCTAAGTAATTATTTGAGTTTTTTTTGCAACGTACGTTTATTTTGACACCGAAAAGTGTAAATGGGTTTACTAGCAATAAGTTTTTTGAATTTTTTTAAAGTTTTTTTTGCACGCAATTTACGTATTAGGATAAAATACATTAAAATTGCTTGCATTTAAATTTGATCAATCTAATATATAACTACCCAGGTCACTGATTTCCCTGACTCCGCAACGCAACCAACACAACCAAAAGCAAACAAACCAGAACAACTCATCTACTGGGCCAATCACCCTTGCTCACTTAATGGCCATAAAATTGACAAGCTAAGAGCCAAAATTACCTCAATAGACACTTTACTTCAACCACACATAATTTTGATTGCCGAAACTTGGTTCACCAACAACTCTGACACAAAAATAGCTGGGTATCAACTGTATAAAAAAAACAGAATCGGAAGAGGAGGAGGAGTGGCCATCTACACAAAGGAAAGCCTCAATTGTTCTTTCATCAAAACTGACCAACTCAACCGCACCACTATTGAGCAAGTCTGGATCAAATTAAAATTTCACGACAAATCAATTTTAATAGGCTGTCTCTACCGTCCTCACGACCTGAACGACTTAACGCTCGATGAAATAATAAGCTCAATAAGTACTGTCTCTGACAAATGCAACTCAATTGGCTGCTCAACCTTACTTGCGTACGGCGACTTCAACTTCAGTAACACTGTGTATTCAAATTTTGACGTAGAAGGTGCCGTCGCGACTGTTGCATACGTACAAAACGATTGACCAACAGATAGCAAATTTCAAGACTGTCTTGAAGAAAATCATTTGATCCAGCTAATAACTTTTCAAACATATCGCAGTACTCGCGAGCAACCTCCAAAAAATACTCTTGACTTGTTCCTGACAAACAAACCAGACCGAATAATGAACATAAAAGATGCTAGTCCTCTCGGCCACAAAGCTAAAGGTCAGGCACACTGTCTTATTGAGGGAAGTATAGCTCTTATCGATTTAAAAACTAAAAAACCCAAAATAACTGATTCCTCTAACTTCTAGAAGAAGCGTCTGATGTGGAGCAAAGCCGACTACAACTTAATCTCTACGCATATCGAAACATTCGACTGGCATTCGGCTTTCGACGGCTTGAATATTTCCGAAAAACATCTAATATTTATCAACAAATTTAACGAAGCAACCTCATTACACGTCTCATCAACAACCACTCTTTATACTAACAAACACAAAATATGGGTGATCAAAGATGTTGCAAATGCTATCAAATTGAAAAGCGAACTCTTTGGCAAATTTATTGCAGCCAGCCGAACAAACAAGCCAACCCTACGCGAACAGCATAAAAAAGCAAGCAAAGCAGTAAAAAAATTAGTTAAAACAGCCGTTCTGGATTACAAAATGGAACTGGTAAATAATAGCAGATGTGACCCAAAAATAATCCACATGTACGTCAAAAGCATACAAGAAACAAACGATCGCATCCGTCAACTTGAAACAACTAATAATCAAACTACAACAGATCCTAAAGTAATCCGCAACACTCTTAAAGAATATTTCCATTCAGTTTTCGAAATCGAACCGCTAGGGTCTATACCAACATTCAACACTCGTTCCACTAGCATAAACTAATCGACCACACTCGCATCATACGAATCCGTCAAAGAAAAACTTTTGGACCTGAACAAATCCAAATCAATGGGTTTCGATGGTATTCACCCACGCGTCCTGAAATACTGTGCTACAGGTTTTGCTATCCCACTGAGCATTATCTTCTCTGAATTGCTTAAAGCTGGAGAGATACCATCTCAATGGAAAAAAGCCGAAATTACTCCTATTCTCAAAAAAAGCTGCAAGTTGAACCCCTCAAACTTTCGACCTATCTTATGCAGTTCTGTCCCTTGCAATGTAATGGAAAGTTTTTTACACAAACACATTACTGACCACTTAAACAAAAATAAACTCATCAGCTCTGCTCAACACGGATTCCGAAAAGGAAAAGATTGCGTCGCAAACCTACTCGAAACTTGTGACATCCTAACTGAAGCTGCCCGCAAAGGTTACCCAACCAATATCATATTCACAGACTTTGCTAAAGCTTTCAATAAAGTTCCGCACTATCGTCTGCTGCACAAGCTGAAATCATATGGAGTGTCCGACAACTTGCACAATTGGATCAAAAGCTGACAAACCAACCGGCTACAAAGCGTAACCATTGGTAACAATATATCTAATTAAAAAACACTCTCTAGCGGTGTGTCAAAAAGATCTATTCTTGGACCACTCCTGTTTCTTATCTACATAAACAATTTGCCAGACAAAATACAACACCACTTTAAAATGTATGCAGATGACTGTAAAATAATCGGAACTATAGAATCAAACCATGACATCATAAAACTCCAAGCCGATATCTACGAAACAGTGAAGTGGTTGAACACATGGCTCATGTCATTTAATGTCAACAAGTGCAAAGTCACGCACACCGGGCGCAGTAACAAAAAAAATCGACTGCAATTTATACCATAACTAACCTGGACGGTCAACTACACCAGCTATCGTGCACGTTATCTGAACGAGAGGTCAAAGTTCTGCATTATGGCTCACACTGTATATTTCGTACGTTCGCCCACACCTAGAATTCGCAGTACAGGCCTGGTCACCGTTTTTAGCTTAAGACATTGCCAAACTTGAGCAAGTTCAACACCAAGCCACAAAACATATTTCCTCCCTTAAACACCTTTTGTATGGTCAAAGACTATCAAGCCTTAACCTGACAACACTAACTAACAAACGACGAGAAAAATGAGAACTTATCGAAAAACTTAAAATCATGACAAAAATTGATAAAGTTAACTTTCACGTCCCTCAACTTCAACCTAACACGGAATCTTTAAAGTACAGTTTTCGGCTTTGTGAACACATTAAAGAACTAAGAGCACAACTTGTCCGAAACTGCGCTGAAAGAAGCATTTTCTTCACCAACTGCAAAGAACTTGAACAATTTTAAACACGAACTTTCTCTGCTACGGCATCTTCACTTAAGCTGAAATTGAAAAACTGTATTTTCATAACAGAGAGGCCTGGTGTGCTGCTCTTTGTCAAAAAAAAATTTGTAAACTTTTTTTTGACCATGAAAGAATAAACCAAACCAAGCATTAGTAGAGTTCGGCAAGGTACTAACCGGTGACGTCATTGACCGTAAGTTACTGGTAACTTACCAGTAACTTACCTATTCTACTTACTTGTAACTCTTATTAATTCTTTATTGTATTATT